ATTCTTAAGAATGTAAATAAGGTGCTGGGTGGAAGCGATCCCTCCCTCCCCACAGCACATGGATGTCATTCTTGGTCAAATGTAAAATCCCTGAGCAGTGGCTTTGCCCGGTGTCCCCTGTGACCCACATCCTGACACCATGCTCCTATACATGCAACACTGAGTTAGCTAGTGGCATCCTTACAGATCTCCTCAAGCATCTGAAATATGTAAGGTTCTAACGCTAACTGCCACCCTCAAAATCACCAGTGGTTTAATATAACTAATCTGGTATTTAAAAAATAAAATTTCCTAAACTTAAAGCCTCAAAATTTTCTGTTGGGAAAACTTTTCCATCAAATATGTAAGTGGCTCGTAAGGGCTTGTACCTGTGAGGAGCAGGTGGGGCGAAATTGCTATATGTTTTTAAAAGTACATTGTTATGATATTTTGGACAACTCTCTGGGGACTGATGCTTAGAAAATGGATACTTAGACTTATAATATATACTTAAAATTCCTCCTCAAATATAATTAAAATATTTATACCATAAAAATCAAGTCATTACATTTGCTTGTTAAATGACATATCATATTAGCTTTTAGAATTTGAGGTAACTACACTTAAGAAGCTTCCTTGTGGTTACATATGTATCCATCTTGTGATTTCCTTTCTCATCTTCTAAATATCAAGTGCACGCTATTCTGCTAAGGATGAAAAAAATCCAACTCTTTGATATCTTCAGATAACACTATTTCCAGTACTTGACAAACTACACCATTCACCCAAGTTCAGTCTATCCTTTTGAAGCAAGTGTTTCCATTTGTGTCATGCCAGCATCATTCAAAAGTAGTACAGAAAGTTCTTTCGTGCTGGGAACACCTTGATGTTGTCAACATAATTTTTTATTTCTTGAGTAATATTACTTAAATTCATAAGAAAAAAAGAAACAGAATTTTACCTTGTTAAAAAGACCATAATTAATAAGAACTTATGCAGCATGTTTATTAACTACTCATATATAATTAACACATGGTAGAAGAAATCTCTTAGGTTTAAAAATAGCTTCATTTAGCATACCAAAAACATAGAGATATAAGAAAAACATTACCTAGTATAATCATAAAAATAGTTAAATACCATAATTTAATGTAAACCAAGTGTTTAAAAATGTGAAATATTATAATAAAATACATGCTATTTACACAGAACCAAGTTAAAGCAACCTCCAGTTATCATATCAGATCATCAATCTTGAAGTCATAATTAACAACGAATCAAACACAGCATCAGTATTTGTATTGTTCAATATGAAAAAAGAAATATAATTTACTTTAAGCAGATACAATTAATTGTGATATTCAAAACAGAGAGGCAGATAGTTCTAAGATTCCAGACACAACTACTGCATGTGGAAGTTTGGAAACCATTCCACTGGAAGAACTACCATTAAGCCCATTGTTTAATTTAAATGCAAACTGGTTGATTCAGTTTAATTACTGCTTAAGAAAGGCACTAAATATATCTGTAAAAATAAACCTTTATTAAAAATGATCAAAGGTGAATGTAGTATCTATCAGTAAAGAAAGGCAAAAGCATAAAAATATATTTATTCCAGATAAGCCCCTTTAATTATAAAACATATTAAGAAACACAGTTTATAAAACCAGGTGGCATAGCAAAAGGGTTTTAAAAAATGTGAAACCCAAACAAAGCAAAGTAAAACCAAACAAACCTAAGAGAATGCTTCTTGAAGAAAGTGGTATTTTGTTTATCTTATCATCATGATGCCAATGCTGCCAGGAGATATCACTATGGAGTAGGAATGCTTTCTTTAACCAATAGTCTAAAAAAGCTCAGTTTTAAGCATTTGGCTTTTGTTTCAAGGATTAACATTCATTCATATACTGCAATTCAGGTATCACTAAAAGGTAGCATTAAATCCAATATCAGGAGTTTGAAATGTAAAATAAAGTGCAAGAATATATACTTAGTAATAGAACATTTTGCTCCTTTGTATCATCCTGTAATTCTGAAACTTTTGGTCTCCAGACCTCCTTATATTCTTATATTTTATGGGGATCTGGATGCCAAAGAGCTTTTGTTTATGGAGTTGACATCTATCCATATTTGCCATATTAGAATATATAAAAATTTAAAAAGCATTTATTCATTTAAAATTAAAAAGTCCATTATGTGCTAACATAAATAACATTTTTAATAAAATAGCCCTATTTTCTAAAACAGAAATAAGATCTGAGGGAAGATGGCATTGTTTTATATTTTTAACTATTTTGAGAGAGAGCGCTTTAGAATGAAAAGATAAATAATAGCTTTGTAATATTATGATAATAGTTTTGATCTCACCGATCCCTAAAAGGGTCTCAAGGATACCCCAGAGTTCATGGGCTGCACTTTTGAAAACTGCTGGTTTAATCTAAGGCCTGATATTAATGACATAAAAAATATATACAAAAGGAGCCTTAGTTTTCATTTTAAAATAAACCAAAATATCCACACATACACACACAAGTCAAAGTATCAAACACTTCAACTTTCAGCTTTAACTAGAAGCCAAAGATCACGATGGCCAAATTCAAAACAATATTGTCATTTCTGCTGAGACTAGGGTGAAGATTTATTCATGAAAGCTACAAAACCTATTAACTAAGCACACCCATTGTAGTTCTCTTTCTAACATTTGCTTAATCCTGTTTGTGCTAAGCTGGCTGTCATCTTTAAGTTGGCACAGCCTTGGTATAGACCAGAGTATGACAGGAGTTTAACTAATAGCCTTCACACTCAGATCAGGAACATGTGCGCAATTTATGGGGCAGCCTATTCTATTTCTCATTATGTAAAAACTCGGATTTTAGGGGAACAGGTGGAAAAAATTCTCTCTTAAGGACAGTAAGAACAATGCTATGACCTCTTCATATCTTACAAATTACTTTCATGCACACCATATCATTAGATCCTTTGAAGTCACTGGAGAATGACAGGGCAAATGATTTTACTACCATTTCAGAGTAAAGGAATTTGAGGGTCAGATACGGGACTTTCCTGAGGTACCATGGCAAGTATATTGCAGAAAGGGATTAGAATTCATGTCATCTGACTCCTAGTTCAGGATTCTCCTCAGTATTTTCTCTTCCTTTGGTTTCAGGGAAAGATTGAGGGAGGGGTCAGTGGGGATGGAGATGGAGGCAGCAGTGTATGACACTTTCTAAACCTGCATTCCATTGCTTCATACACCATTTTACCCAACACCAAGGCAGCTTGGGAGTGGCAGAGACATCTCTTTAATAAAATGAATTTCCCACCAGTGCCATAAATGATGGAACTTTGTATAAAAACACTGTCATACTTTTCTTTCTGAGCTAGTTTATATTGGCAGTTCATTCATAGTCTGTTCACTCTGATCCAAAGGAAAAGTAAAAATTCTGAAGTTAAAAAAAAACCTGATGAAAAATAAATGAAATAACAATAACAAGATCTCTGTGAAGCTATTATAACTAGATTTATTGTGCACCTGGCACAACAGACTTTGCACTCTTCCTCCACCAACTGGAGAGCAATGTAAAAATCACAATTCTTAATTTAATGGGAAATTGCTTCAATCATCTTGAAACAAAGACTTCAGAATATACAAAAGCATTAAGAAAATAATTTTAAGATGCCGAAACCGGTTTGGCTCAGTGGATAGAGCGTCGGCCTGTGGACTGAGAGGTCCCGGGTTCGATTCCGGTGAAGGGCATGTACCTGGGCTGCGGGCACATCCCCAGTGGGGGATGTGCAGGAGGCAGCTGATCGATGTTTCTCTCTCATCGATGTTTCTAACTCTCTCTATCTCTCTCCCTTCCTCTCTGTGAAAAATCAATAAAATATATTATAAAAAAAAATAATTTTAAGAATATTATTTTAACTAAATTCTTAGGTACTTGACAATTCTGTGCTGGTAGGAGGAATAGAAAGTAGAGTAAAAAGCAATGAAACAATGAGAAGAAAATAATTACTGTCACCAAAGAGCAAAGGACAAATCTTTATCTATTCACTGTCATTAATACATATATGTACTTTATAAATTATTCTGTTGGCAGGAAATCCTCACCAGCAAGATGTTAATACAAATAGCATGAGACATTCAAAATTAGTAAGCAAACACTGTTTAACTGGGAGGCGGGACAGCCAACAACAAAAAACTCCCTCCTACAAAATTAGCCAAATGCCACTAATTATCAATAATTTTCTTGCTATACACTATAAGCAAGTTGTTGTTTACTGTCCCTTCCCTCTGTATTTCTGAGATGTTCCAAAAATCAAGATGGACTACATGCATTTTTTTCTACTAAGGTAGTTGAAGAAAAAGTTTAACAAAAGCCAGTAAGAAACAGAAAACATACTAAGTTCATCTTATTTTCAAAATTGAACAGCACATCATTATCTACTACACAACTTGACGGTGTCTCCAACCCCCATTTTGGTGAGTAATTTACAGGTGATTTAGACAGAAGTTAATCGCTGTTTAACACATTGCACTGGTATATATGCATATATGTATACTAGAGGCCCATTGCACGAAATTTGTGCACTGGGAAAGGGGTGTCCCTCAGCCCAGCCTGCACCCTCTCCAAACTGGGACCCCTTGGGATCGGGCCGAAACCGGCAGTTGGACATCCCTCTCACAATCTGGGACTGCTGGCTCCCAACCGCTTGCCTGCCTGCCTGCTTATTGCCCCTAACTGCTTCTGCCTGCCAGCCTGATCACCCCCTAACCATTCCCCTGCCAGCCTGATCAATGCCTAACTGCTCCTCTACTGGCCTGGTCACCTTTAACTGCTCTCCCCTACTGGCCTGGTCATCCCTAACTGTCCTCCCCTGTAGGCCTGGTCACCCCCAACTGCTCTCCCCTGCTGGCCTGGTTACCCCCAACTGCCCTCCCTCCCCTGCAGGCCTTGTCGCACCCAACTGCCCTGCCCTGTCCTGCTAACCTGATCGCCCACAACTGCCCTACCCGGCCGGCCATCTTGTGGGAGGGTGTGATGATCAATTTGCATATTACCTCTTTATTATATAGGATATGCATGAATACACATACACACATATGTATAATTCATCACATCACATAAAGACCACTGTTTTCCCCTTTTCACATATTCCTATTACCTAAAATGAGCGTGGATAATGCTTTTACAGTAGGAAACACAACTAATTAAAATCAAATTAGAAAATGTAAAGTGGTATGCTGTCAGAGTCCAATAAAATAAGTCAATGCATATTTATGTAGTGGTAAAGTGGTAGACAGTTCTTTTATTTGTATTCTAAAAACGATTATAGTAAAAAGAAGTTTGCTGTTTCATTTGATGGTGGTGACCACAGGCACCATAGCAATAGCACTGGCTGAGTTGGAGTGGATGATGTCCTCATAATCCGGGGGTGGGTCTAAATGAGGTTCTGTTTCAATCCTCTGAAGGTTCACCTGTCCTGTAGCTTCCTCATAGGTTGGTGGAGGATCGCAGTTGGAAAGGCGAGTGGAGACAGAATCTGAGCGCCCATCTACATATTCCAGAAAGCCTGGCGACATTCCATTGCTATCAAACACTTCGTCTGGTGGGGGAGGTGAAGTGATAATATTAAGGTGCTGAGGGAAAGGGATGTGATCTTCAGTCACTGTCTGTCTGCGAGTTTTGTTTCTTAGGAAGCATCTCCAGATTAGGAAAATGACAAGGAGGATAATAAAGAGGCCAAAGATTAATGGAAAGGTGAGGTAAAACTGAAACCAGTCACTTCCTCTGTTACTCTCACCTTGTTGCGCTTTTGTATAGGTGTTCCAAAACTCTTTCTGAAAATAAAAGACAAAATTATTGAAAATCAGTATGATCAAAAGATATGAAATATCAAATGAACAAATGTCTGGGGTCTAGTAATATAATGAAAAGAAATACAACAAACAAACCAGCTTTCTTTGTTAAAATGACCTACAGTCTACATTTTTCATGATAAGAAATTACAAATAAATCATGGTGCTCACTCTGGATCCTTCCTGAAATAGAACATGGGTCATCTTCAAGGCTTGGAGTTATTTATATTTTTAGCTATCACATTTTATTTTTTTCATTTATAGAAATTAAAAAAAAATCTTTCAATTATAGTTAACATACAATATTTTATTAGTTTCAGGTATACAACATAGGGATTAGATATTTATATAACTTACAAAGTGATCACCCCAATAACTCTAGTACCTATCTGACAACATACATTGTTATTACAATAATATTGGCTATATTCCCTATGCTATATTTTACATACCTATACTGTTTTTATAACTGGCTATTTGTACTTCTTAATCTCTTCACATTTTTCACCCATCCTCCTCAATCCCCCTCCCATTTGACAATAATCAATTTTTTCTCTATATCCATGAGTTTGTTTCTGTTTTGTTTGTTCATTTATTTTGTATTTTGAATTCCACATATAAATAAAAACATGTGGTATTTGTCTTTCTTCTTTTTAATAATTCTTTTTTAAAAAAATATATTTTATTGATTTTTTACAGAGAGGAAGGGAGAGGGATAGAGAGTTAGAAAGAGAACCATCGATCAGCTGCCTCCTGCCCACTCCCCACTGGGTATGTGTCCGCAACCAAGGTACATGGCCTTGACCAGAATCGAACCTGGGACCCTTGAGTCCGCAGGCCGATGCTCTATCCACTGAGACAAACCGGTTAGGGCTTAATAATTCTTTTTTTTTTTTTTTTTAAATATATTTTATTGATTTTTTACAGAGAAGAAGGGAGAGGGATAGAAAGTCAGAAACATCGATGAGAGAGATCGATCAGCTGCCTCCTGCATGACCCCCAGTGGGGACGTGCCTGCAACCAAGGTACATGCCCTTGACCGGAATCGAACCCGGGACCCTTGAGTCCGCAGGCCGACACTCTATCCACTGAGCCAAACCGGTTTGGCCTTAATAATTCTTTATTGTTGAAAGTATTACATATGTTCCTTACCCCCCCGCATTGACCCCCTCCAGCCCACCCTGTACCCCAAGGCTTTCAGCACCCTGTTGACTGTGTCCATGGATTATGTGTATACTCATACAAGGTTGATTACCTCCTACCCACCCACACTCTCCCACTTTCCCACTGAGATTCTGCACTCTGTTCCATGCTTCCATGCCTCTGGATCCACTCTGTACATCAGTTTATTTTGTCACTCAGATTCCACATATGAGTACGATCATGTGATACTTGTCCTTTTCTGACTGACTTATTTCACTTAGCATGATACTCTCCAGGTCTCTTCATGCTGTCTCAAAGGGTAAGATATTCTTCTTTTTTATTGTTTAAAGTATTACAAATAGTAGTACATATGTCTCCTTTTCCCCCATTGACCTACCCCAGACCTCCAATAACTGCCAGCACATGCCCTCACCCCCTCACCCCCAGTGTCTGTGTCCATTGGTTATGCTTATATACATGAATACAAATCCTTCAGTTGATCTCTTACCCCTACAACCCGCCCCTGCCTAACCACTGTAGTTTAACAGTCTGTTCGATGCTTCTTTGTCTCTGTATCTTTTGTTCATCAGTTTATGATGTTCTTTATATTCCACAAATGAGAGAGATCATGTGATATTTATCTTTCTCTGACTGACTTATTTTGCTTAGCATAATGCTCTTCAGTTCCATCCATGCTGTTGCAAATGGTAAGAATTCCTTCTTTTTTACAGCAGCATAGTATTCAATTACATAGATGCACCACAGTTTTCTAATCCACTCATCTGCTGATGGGCACTTAGGCTGTTTCCAAATCTTAGCTATTGTAAATTATACTGCTATGAAGATAGTGGTGCATATATCCTTTCTGATTGGTGTTTCTAGTTTCTTGGGATATATTCCTAGAAGTGGGATTACTGGGTCAAATGGCAGTTCCATTTTTTAAATTGTTTGAGGCAGTGCCATACTGTTTTCCACAGTGGTTTTACCAGTCTGTATTCTTGCCAGCAGTTGTTGTTTGCTGGTTGATTTGTTGATAATAGCCATTCTTTGAATCTCACCGATTACTGACTTTCAGCATGTTTTCATATATCTCTTGGCTTTCTATATGTCCTCTTTCAAAAAGTGTCTATTATGGTCCTTTGCCCATTTTTTTTTTTTTAAATTGGATTGTATATCTTCCTTTTGTTAAGTTGTATGAGTTCCCTGTAAATTTAGGGGATTAAACCCTTATCGGAGATAACAATGGCAAATATGTTCTGCCATGCAGTGTGCTTTCTTGTTTTGTTGATGGTTTCTTTTGCTGTGCAGGAGGTGTTTTTTTGTTTTTTGGGGTTTTTTTTGTTTGTTTGTTTGTGTTTTTTTTTTTTTATATAGTTCTATTTATTTATTTTCTCCTTAGTTTCCATTGACCTAGGAGCTGTATCAGTAAAGATACTGCTACGACAAATGACTGATATTTTGCTGCCTATGGCTTCTTCTAAGATTTTTATGGTTTCCCTTCTTATGTTTAAGTCCTTTATCCATTTTAACTTTATTTTTGTGTATGGTGTAAGTTGGTGGTCTAGTTCCATTTTTTTGCATGTATCTGTCCATTTTTCATAACACCATTTATTGAAGAGACTGTCTTGACTGCATTGTAGGCTTTTTCCTCCTTTATCAAATATTAATTGAGCATAATGACTTGGGTCGATTTCTGGGTTCTCTGTTCTGTACCATTGGTCTATATGTTTGTTCTTGTGCCAGTACCAGGCAGTTTTGAGAAAAGTGGCTTTGTAATATAGCTTGATATCTGGTATTGTGATCCCTCCAAGTTTGTTCTTTTTTCTCAAGACTGTTGCATCTTTTTAGGGTCTTTTTTATTCCAGGTGAATTTTTGGAGAGTTTTTTCTAGGTCTTTGAGGTTTGCAGTTGGAATTTTAATGGGGAGTGCATTGAATCTATAGATTTCTTTGGGTAGTTTGGACATTTTAATGATGTTGATTCTACTAATCTAAGAACAGCGTATATTCTTCCATTTGTTTATGTCTTCCTCGATCTCTTTTTTCAATGTCCTATAATTTTGAGTCCAGGTACTTTACTTCCTTGGTTAAATTTATTCTTAGGTATCTCATTTTTTTTTGTTGTTGCAATGGTAAATGGTATTTTTTTAAGTTTCTCTTTCTGTGAGTTAATTATTGGTATATAAAAAAAGCTATAGATTTCTGGGTGTTAATTTTGCATTCTGCTACATTGTTGAATTCATTTATGAAGTCTAGTAGCTTGTGATGGAGTCTTTAGGGTTTTCTATGTACAATATCATGTCATCTGCGAATAATGACAATTTTACTTCTTTTCCAATTTGGATACCTTCAATTTTTTTTCTTGTCTGATCACTATGGCTAGTACTTCCAGTAGTATGTCGAACAGGACTGGTGAGAGTGGGCATCCCTATCTTGTTCCTGTTCTCAGGGGAAATAGTTTTAGTTTTTGCCCATTGAGTATGATGTTGGCTGTGGGTTTGTCATATATGGCTTTAATTATGTTGCAGTATGATCTTTCTATTCCCACCTTGCTGAGAGTTTTTATAAAGAAAGGGTGTTGGATTTTGTAAAATGCTTTTTTCAGCATCAATGGATATGATTATATCATTTTTATCTCTCAATTTGTTTATGTGGTGTAACATGTTTATTGATTTGCGGATATTGAACCATCCTTGCATCTATGGATTATATTCAACTTGGTCATGGTGTAGGACAGTGATGGCTAACCTATGACATGCGTGTCATAGGTGACACACAAACTCATTTTGGGTGACACACATCGACAGAGACAAAAATTGCATAATTCAAACATTTGTCTCTCGCAACGGCCAGAGTTGGCCATCACTCAAGTAATATTATTACTCACGTTACTCATGATCAATAAGGCAATTCTAAAACTGGATGTAAACATGTTCATCGGTGTTGCATAGCAAAGATACATAGTGAAAACATCCAAGATACATTGTTCCAATATGGACATTAATATAAAAAGGTTAAGAATTGCATTATAAAGAGATTAATCTTTACTCATGACATTTTATTTTTACTCGAGTGACAAAATGCCCAATTCTGGAAAAGGCCTTGTTATTGTCAACATGTGCCTTGGGTAAGTTTCCCGTGCATTCGGGTGCATTCGGGAAACAGACGCACTTGATCGCCATGTTCATTAGGAGACAGGAGTGGGAGGGTTAGAAGAAAAATATATACAGTGCAACAGTGCTCGACGAGACATTCTGCATGTCAGATAATTGATTACAGCACCATATATTTGTTGGTTGTACATACTATCTTTGAATTGTTTTGCATCAGGAGTCAGTGCAACAACATTGCAAAAAGTTAATAGGTAAGAAACTTATCAACCTTTTATAAAAAATGCCGTGATTTTTATTTATTTATTTTTGCAGCCTTGTGATGGAGAATCAAAAAAATAAAAAAAGCAAGATTGAATGATAAAGGAAGTGGAAGTAGCAGTAGCCGACCCTTTCAAGACATATGGACAGAGATGTATGGGATTGTCGACAGAAACAACAGATCATTGTGCATACTGTGTAATGAAATGGTAGTAAGCAGAATGTGGAATGTAAAGAGACATTTTGAAACTAATCATTGTCAGCTCTTGAAAAAAAGTACTGATGAAAAGAAGGAATACATTTCTAGGCAGCTACACCTCTATAAAAGTCAATCAAATTCCATCATTAAATTTGTAAGATGATCTACAAATTTAACATCAGCAAGTTACTGTATTGCTCACTCCATAGCTCAGCATGGAAAAGCCCTCAGTGATGGAGAATTTATTAAGGAAACATTTCTAAGATGTGC